GTAGTTAGTAGTATAACATAGTTAAAAGAAAGAAATTTATTATTATTTATTATGTCTGTATATAATATTTGTTATATAAAAAATTATTGTTCTTGCTTTTTGCTTATTATTTGATCAGTTTTGATTTTCAATACATTTGATGTATTGATTATTTTGTATAATATATTAAATTCTATTTTGTATAATACATTAAATTCTACTTTATTGTTATTACTTTTTGGCACATAATATTACGCATTTTCAGATTTATTTAGCCTGTGTTTCGATATCCACTGCCAGTACTACAAATCTATACTTTACGTCACATGTGCTGTAGATGTGCAGTACCGGCAGTGAAGATCGAAACGCAGCCCATGTAAGTATGAGAGAGTAAAAGAAAGAGAAAGAGAGAAGGGACATATCATAAGCCACGCATAAGAAACGGGCTAGCAACTAGGCACGCTTCTCGCGGCTGGCAGTTAGCTATAGCTATAGCTATAGCGAAAGAAAGAGAGCGGTTATATATGTCCGTCTCTCTCTACTGCTCGAAGCTGACCGAAGCGCCGAGCGCACGGCTGTTCGCCTGTGTGCGTATCCCCTCCACTTGCTGTTGCATGTTGCTAGCGTCCGCAAACTGGCATCTCTGCTCGCAAGCTCGTCCTAGGCGGCAGGATCCGCGGGCTGCGAAATTCGAATGCTCGCAGGATCGTGCTTGCTAATATGCAGCTGTGCGGATAAAGATGTCTTTGGACGAATTAGCAGCTTCGAGTAGATAGCAAGGAGGCCAGCAGCTCTATATCCAAAGCCAGGCAGCAGCACAAAAGCAATAGAGCACCGCAACTCAATGTTGGTTGGCCCGTTGATAGTCCGGTCCGCCGTTCCGCTCGTTCCGCTCGTTCCGCTCTGCTATCTCGCAACCCGTCGAGAAGTCCTAAGAAAGCGCAGCCGCCCTGCCGCGTCTCTGTAATGCAACAACCCACCTTCACCCTCGATGTGACCTTGAGGCGATACGGCGCGCCTCCCTCTCTCTCTCTCTCTCCCTCTCTGTTTGCTGCTGTTCTCCGTCGTTGAAAAATCCCACGATGACTCTCGGGACGAGGAGGCGCCAATATTACAAACAAAAGAAAATATAAAAATAAAACGCTATTCTAATCTAACGCATGCAAGCCCTGGAGGATCTTGGCGCTTTTTCGAACGGCTCGTATTCCCGGGCTCCCGCGAAAACTACTTTTTGTGGCGAGGGAGGAGCGGCGCGGATACCACGTCACAATATATAATAGATATTAAAATCATTATATAAGTAATGAGTTGTTTCTTAATATCACTGTGTGAATATGTAAATCATGTATCGTTTATTATTTGTACATAAAATTATAATCTTATAACTTATGTTCAAATTGCAGAGTTGTTAAATTGTAAACTAAAAGCATTTATTTAAAGTAGCTTCCTTTTCAATTCGACATATTCTTAAAACTGTAGCCTCCGAGTTATATGTCTCCTATGTCCGTATAAAATCTCTATTGAATTCAACTATATTGCGTCAATCACACAACATACATTATGCAATCACTCTCGTCGTTATGCCAATTCTTTTTTTGTATATACCGAAAGTCGATACGCGCGTGGCAATAAAAATATGTGATATTTTGTTTATTGATTAGTTATCATTTTTTTAGCTTTTATCACTGGTATGGTATCGATAATTGGTATTACCGCTGGTGTTCATAGATTATGGTGTCATCGCACTTACAAAGCAAAATGGCAATTGCGACTGTTGCTGATGATTTTTCAAACCGTTGCTTATCAAGTAAATTTCACGTTACATACGTCTTCTCTTATTTCTTTAAGTTTAGTATTTATTTTTGTCTTGTAAAAATATCACAGTGTTTCCTTAATTCTATCATATTTTAAATGCCGTTAACTATGATAGAATTACTTTGCGTACCTTAATAATAAATCATATTAATTATATTTAGTTTAGTTAATTATATTTCGTTGACTAATTATTTATTTTTTAGGGTACGATTTATGATTGGGCCAGAGATCATCGTGTACATCACAAATTCTCCGACACTGATGCGGATCCGTACAACATCCGCAGAGGATTTTTTTTTTCTCATATAGGTTGGCTTTTAATACGTAAACATCCAGATGTTCTAAAAAAAGGTGCTACAATTTCTTGCAGCGACCTCGAGAAAGATCCTTTTGTGGTTTTTCAAAGAAAGTACGACGTGCATACTACATATGAATCGAGACATTGTACGATATATCTGAATTATTTTTTTGTTTTGTAGATACTACTTATATCTGGTGTTTGTATTGTCCTTTATTGTGCCAACGTTGGTACCTTGGTTGGTATGGAACGAATCTCTATGGTACTCAGGAATCGCGTCCATTACTAGATATTGTATTACTATCCATTTAACTGCGTCAGTGAATTCGTTGGGTCACAGGTGGGGAATGAGACCATACGACAAGTACGTAGATGTAATATACACACATTCTTATACAAATGTAGATTGTGTTAATTTAAGAAAGTAACAATTAAAATGCACTGATTTATTACGCTGATTTATTACGCTATGGTAATATGTCAATTTTGTCGTGCAGTTCTATCAGTCCTGTCGAAAACGCAGTTATTTCTGTTCTGGTGTGCGGCGAAGGCTGGCACAATTATCATCACGTTTTTCCTTGGGATTACAAAACAGCTGAATTTGGAAGTTATACGATGAATATTACTACAGCTTTTATTGATTTCTTCGCCTTTGTAGGATGGGCTTATGACCGGAAGACCGCATCTACTGACATAGTGAAAAAACATGTTCTTCGAAATATTAAAGAAAATATTGATAACAAATCCATTAAACAAATCAAATAGACATCAGATATTTATACGCTTCGCGCGCTAACGGTGTTACCCATAACGACATATGGGAGGAGCTAATGGCTGCTTTCCTTTTAGGAGACACAGTCGACACATTCGACACAAAGCGTCACACATCGCTTTCCATTTGTAATTGTGATCGACCTCAATCGACACACTTCGACTCTTCTCGGGAGGAGAGTCAGAGTGTGTTCAAGTGTACTTTTGACGCATATAT